CTTTCCTGGTGCATCCATTTTTTAAAGTGAAGGTGCTTATAATTTTCAGTACATTAGAATTCATATCCACCAAATACTAGCATATTAAAATCTGTGGTATTTGGGAACAAATGTGGTCTTTGTCCTTCTGAGGCTAAGAGACATTTTAGACAGAACTACAGAGAATTTTAGATTTTGTAAAATTTAAGTGCTTGGGCCGAGCGTGGTGGCTCACGCCTGTAATCCTAGCACTCTGGGAGGCCGAGGTGGGCGGATCGTTTCAGCTCAGGCGTTGGAGACCAGCCTGAACAAGAGCAAGGCCCCGACTCTACTAAAAATAACAAAGAAATTGGCCAAACAACTAAAAATAGAAAAAAATTAGCCAGGCATGGTGGCGCGTGCCATAGTCCCAGCTACCTGGGAGGCTGAGGCATGAGGATCGCTTGAGCCCAGGAGTTTGAGGTTGCTGTGAGCTAGGCTGATGCCACAGCACTCTAGCCCAGGCAAGAGAGGAGACTCTGTCTCAAAAAAAAAAAATTTAAGTGCTTAAATTGGTATATATAGCCCTATTGTTCAGCTTAGAAATGTTTGTTAGAAAAGCATGAAATGTCCTGCTGTGAAGTTCTCTCCTGCTGTTTTTGCTTTAAGTAGTGGGTTATTTACATAATGTATGCAGAGGTGAAAAAGGTTTTTGTGTCTATAGGTATATATTAAAATGAATTAACGGACTTGAACAATGGACATGAATTTTGCCAATGTTAATATAAAGGCAAGAGATAAATCCAGTATAATTAGAAGCTAGAGTTAAAGCTAAACTAGCCCCTTCTCCATTGGTTAATAGAAAAAGGTGAACTTCATGCAAGGTGAAAAGAGATTTCATAAATATTTGGTTCCCCTTTCAAATGACTGAATATATGCGTGCTTGTTACTGACTTAGGTTAAGTGTAGGGCATCCTCCCCCCTTATATATAATTTTGGAATTTTTTTATTTTTTGAGACCACCACACCTGGCTAATTTTTCTATTCTTTTGTAGAGACAGGGTCTCACTCTTCCTAGGCCGTTCTCAACTCCTGCCCTGAAACAATCCTCCCAAAGTGCTAGGATTACAGGCATGAGCCACAGTGCCTGGCCCTATAATTTTGATTTTTTGATGGTTTAGATCAGGGTCAGCAAACTTATATATAGGGTCAGCTAGTAAATATTAGGCTTTACAGGCCACAAATATGTCTGTCCCACATTTTTTTCTTTTTTTTTTTTTTTTTTGAGACAGAGTCTCTCTCACTCTGTTGCCTGGGGTAGAGTGCCGTGGCGTCAGCCCAGCTCACAGCAACCTCAAACTCCTGGGCTCGAGCAATCCTACTGCCTCAGCCTCCCGAGTAGCTGGGACTACAGACATGCGCCACCATGCCTGACTAATTTTTTTCTATATAGATTTTTAGTTGTCCAAATAATTTCTATTTTTTAGTAGAGACGGGGTCTCGTTCTTGCTCAGGCTGGTCTCGAACTCCTGACCTTGAGCGATCCACCCGCCTCGGCCTCCCAGAGTGCTAGGATTACAGGCGTGAGCCACCGCGCCTGGCCACATTTTTTTTTTTTTAATGCAGAAATCATTTTTGGCTTGTAGCCTACCTTCTGATTTAGATAATTAAAAAATTTTTTTTTCTTCCCTTTTTTTTTTTTGAGACGGATTCTCACTGTGATGCCTAGGTTAGAATGCAGTGGCATGATCATAGCTCACTGCGACTCCTGGGCTCAAGTGATCCTCCCACCTCAGCCTCCCGAGTAGCTAGGACTATAGGCACTTGCCAGCACCAGGCTTTGTAATTTAATTTACTTTTTTGTGTGGAGTTGAGGTCTTGTGAACTCCTGAGCTCAGGTGACACTCCTGTGTTGGCCTCCCAGAGTGTTGGGATTATATAGGTGGTGGGAGCCATGACACCAGGCTTGGTTGTAGTATTAATTTGCTAATGCTGCTGTAGCAGAGTACTATAGATGGGTGGCTTAAACAGGAGGAATTTATTTCCTCATAAGTCTGCGCGGCTGGAAGTCCCAAGATAAAGATGTCGGCAGGATTAGTTTATTATAAGACCTCTCTCCTTGGTTTGCAGATAGCTGTCATTTTGTGTTTACCCTTCTGTAACTGTCCTCCTAACCTCCTTTTATAAGGACACTGGTCATATTGGATTAGGGACCTACCCTAAGACCCTGTGTCTTTAAAATACATTCATATTCTGAGATGCTAGGGCTTAGGACTTCATGAGTATGGGGGGGGCACAAATCAGCATGTAACAGTGATAATTTACTAGATTACTTAATGTTTGAAGAAGGAAGGCTTATTTATTTATTTATTTATTTTTTGAGAAGGAGTCTCGCTTTGTCACCTGAGCTGGAGTGCTGTGGCATCAGCCTAGCTCACAGCAACCTCCAACTCCTGGGCTCAAGCAAGTCTCCTGCCTTAGCCTCCAGAGTAGCTGGGATTACGCTACCATGCCAGGCTAATTTTTCTGTTTTTAGTAGAGACGGGGCCAAGGCTGGTCTCAGACTTCCCTGTTGCTGAGGCTGACCTCAAGCGAGCCTCCTGCCTTGGCCTCCCAGAGTGCTAGGATTACAGAGGTGAGCCACAGTGCCCTGCCTCAGATCTCTCTTAATCTAGAGCAGTTCACCTTTGTTATGCCATTAATTTGTTAAACCATGCTTCAGGATTTGTGCCTGCCTTGCATCAATTAACTTGTTTTTTCTTCAAATTTCCTGTAGGCTGAAATTAAGCTTTAAAAGATTTCTTAAACGCAAGTTAAACTTGTTTTCAAATAGGTATATATCATAGTACTGTGGTATACACCATGTTGCATCAAACAGAAAAATGTATGTCTGGTTGTTTCACTTCTAGTGATGCTAAGATTGGTAAATTCTTCACCAGCTGTTTAATCATTGTTAATGGTATCATCCATTGATGATCTTTACTTTTCTTCTACAAGGGAAGCTAGTGTTGTGTAAAGTTTCCTTCATGAACTGGTACTATTCAGTTTTCATGAATAAAAGTTCATAAAGAGAAGGAAGCGAAAATGCCTAATTCTTTCACTGACAGTTTGTAAAGAATTGGTGTCTAGCATCTTGTGATGTAGAATTATGGGGAGGGGTGCCTTTATTTTTAATTGATACAGACTCAGGGTTTTCATATTCAATGTATTTAAATCAATTTGCAGTCTTTTTGTTTGCTCAAATTGTCTTTGGCCGAGGGCAGACCCTTTTTGCTGCTCCTTGTTTGGAGTTAGAGCCTTTTAAAGATTCACTTGTACAAAATGTCCCAAGCTCATATTTCCCACTTTATATCTGGGATCAGCCATTTCTCTAAGGGAACTCGGGTTCCTTTTTGTTAGAAATGGTATTTTTGTACTGCAGTGCTCATTGCCCCTGGTTGTAAACCATTAATACTGTTTTTTAAAAGGGATTGTTAGTCACTTGCATTTTAAAATTTGTTGTTTATTAAGTTGGCAGATATTTCAGCTAAAGACAGAACCTATGTTAACCACATAAGAATACTGTTCACAAGAAAATGAGCTAGAAATAATGCATGGCCTATTCATTAAAACTCCTAAATTGTTTATTAGATATGTTAACATGAGAAATTGTGATTTAGACTTCTTTTTCAGAGGCATTTAAAATCTGAAAATTAAAAGAAAATCTGCAGATGCCTAAAGAAATAGCTTTTACTCTCGCTGATTTACTGATATGTAGACTTTGGAAACTGAACATGTGTGCTTTGTAACCTATTTCAAACTGATAATGAATATGATTAGTTTAAAAGCTGTGTAAAAATGTTGGGCAGTTGACTGCAACTTTGTAGGACTTGACTTGCTGCTCTTCAGAGAATTTCAAACTTGAAAACAAAAACAGGCTTTCAGTTGAGTTGTTTTATGCGGAGCCCTGGAATATGTATTTTTAAACTTATTTTGAATATTTTGGAATAGTTTTAGATTTACGTAAAAGTTGCAAAAAGTACAAAGAATACCTGTAAGCCAAGTAACTTTAATTATCAAAGCAGTGCATATTTTTGTTGTTGTTGTTGTTGTTTGCATATTTGTTTTTAAAAAGTAATTGAAACAGTTGAGTAAGATGTGGTTCTACCTCCATCTTTCTGGCTCATTGTTTAGAGGCAAATGCAGTTAATTTTGCATGTGTGAGAATTTGAATTTTGATGCATGTGCAAACGTTTGTCTAAAGATTACAAAGAAAATTATTTGCCACCGTCATTATTGCCTGTTAATCAACTATATTTGAATGTATTTGCCTCAAGTGGTTTGTTAGCCATATTCTAAAATAATTTTAATGGGTAGAGCTCTTGAAGCTGACAGTATGAAGCAGACTGGAGCAGATGAACAGTGTTAAGGAAAAAGCAGTGTGTTGCTTTTAGTATGTATCAGTACAGGCATAGAGTAAAAGATGAAGTTGTACAGAAACTTCATTCTTTAAATGTCATTCTTTAGAATCTTAGAAGATTTGTTTGTGTACCCCCCCCACGTTGTTTCATGTGGTCAGAAATAAGCTGCAACTGAGAACGTTTTTTTGCAGACACTATTTCTCATACATTTTAGTTCCACAGTTTCTAACCTTGTAAGTAGAGATAATGAATACTATCTTTCAGTTGAACGTAGATTCATTCTCTTGATTTATTAATTCTGTAAAGTTTAATTTTAGAACCGGGGCTCTAAAGGAATAACACATTTTTCGACAGGACTAACTAAATGGTTAACTATTAAGTGTTGTTTGGTTTTTAAATCCGTATTATGAAATTGGTATCATTCTGAAACTAAATCTTGCTAGTGTCCTATGTTTTGAGTTGGAATGTAGCTGTAAGGGTAAACATGTAGTTTCTGTTTACAATTGTAATAAACTGCCCCCAAACAATCAATGCTGTAATGGAGTAGGAAAATGCATTACTTACATGCTAAATTTTGGAGATTATGTAAATATTCAGTTAATGAATTCCAGCTTGACTTTGTCTAATTTTACATCTTTGTAGGCAGCCTGCTTCTGCAAAGTGGTACGATCGAAGGGACTATGTCTTCATTGAATTTTGTGTTGAAGACAGTAAAGATGTTAATGTAAATTTTGAAAAATCCAAACTTACATTCAGGTAAATTACCATTTTACATTATTGCGTAGGAAGCTTATTTCAGACAACTGAGTAACTTAGGCTTGCTTGTTTTGCTTTTTGTTTTTTCATTGAAATTATTACCGATCTTTATCTCTGAAGAGGCTTAATTCATTCTTTTCTTTTTTTATTCAGTTGTCTTGGAGGAAGTGATAATTTTAAACATTTAAATGAAATTGATCTTTTTCACTGTATTGATCCAAATGTAAGTAGTCTTGATGCTTTAATCCTGATTTAAATTGTGAGGAAATGAATATACTTAAAGTACTCTTTAGTGGTAAGCACTAATTCTGTTTAACAGTTCAGAGGCTAACTAGGTGTACTTAACATTTTGCAATATTTTTTCCTCCTTCAAAATACTTTTCTGCATACTCTTTGTTCTTGTATCACTGTTTTGACTCATGGCAGTACTCCAGAGGCTTGTCTTTTCTAAGGATGGAATCTTTTAAACCATTCCTTGGTTGTACCATTTTTAATAAAAAATGCAAATGTTTTCTCGTCACCTTGTGCAGGGAAGAAAAAATGATGGTTAAACTGCAAACTTTTGGGTGTTTTTGGTTTTTTGGGGGGTTTTTTGGCAGTTGGATAGTTTGAAGTTTTTAGTAGTCAATGGCGTGTTTCTTTTGGAGTCTAGAGAAAATGTAAGGAAAGAAATGAGAGATGAGAAATGAGCTACTTTCTGTCATGTAATGATACTGAAGATTATCGCTGTAAATGACATGATGTGGGTTGATGATGGTGCTTTTGTTTTTAGGATTCCAAGCATAAAAGAACGGACAGATCAATTTTATGTTGTTTACGAAAAGGAGAATCTGGCCAGTCATGGCCAAGGTTAACAAAAGAAAGGGCAAAGGTAGGTTTCATTTTCCTTTTTTAAAAGTAGTATTTTAAGTAATAAAAAATACACTTGTTTGGTGTAAGGAATACACTACATGTTTTTGTTTCATAGGTAAGTATAAAGGCTTACATTCTCTGTTCTTTTGCTCTACTTTGATATTTATTGGTTTTAAATTATTCAAGTATTTTGAGAGTAGTTCCTACCAATAGATTTTTGTTGTTCAAAAGGTAGGTTTAACAGTTTTGAAAGATGTTTCGTAAGACTTTATTTACCATTACTGCATTTGGTTTCACCCTGATTTTTCTATTAGCTTATTCTCTTTTTTTGTGTGTGCTAATGTGTATGAATTCACAGCTCAAAAAAATTTAGTCTTGCTGGGTGTGGTGGTGCCTGCCTGTAGTCCCAGCTACTTGAGGCTGAGGCAAGAGCATCGCTTGAGCTCTGGGCTATAGTGTACTGTGCCATTTGGGTGTCTATACTAAGTTCAGTACTCCCTTCCCAAGAGTAGGGGATAGCCAGGTTGCCTAAGGAGGAATGAACTGGCCCAGGTTAGAAATGGAGCAGGTCAAAACTCTCTTGTTGATCATTAGTTGGATTGCACCTGTGAATAGTCATTGTACTCCAGCCTAAGCAATATAGTATAGTGAGACCTGTACTTTAAAAAGAAAAAAGAAAAGTCTTAAGTTGCATGCCAAGTGCAAATTTACCTAATCATAGGGGTGCTGTTTGTATTGATCTATAGCTTAATTGGCTTAGTGTGGACTTCAATAATTGGAAAGACTGGGAAGATGATTCAGATGAAGACATGTCTAATTTTGATCGTTTTTCTGAGGTAAGTTCCTTTAAATGCATTCCTCTCCCCCAAGTACACAGTACGTTTCTGTATAGTCAGTTTAATTTGGTTTTAAGACCATTCTGTGGTATCAACAAGTAAGATCTTAACAATGGTAATTTAATCCTGAAGTTGAACCATTTTTACTATTTTTTTAAAAATTAGTGTCAGATTCTGAAGTTGACATATAAAGGCGAAGAATAAACTACAGTTAATCAGTCCAACACAGCTAGTTTTATTTCAGCATTGAAACATTTTACAATAGTTGGCTTCTGTTTGAGAGCCATATAACACAAATATAAACTTTTAAATGAAAGAATTACGGTGAGAAGTTCACACTGAGAGGTATGTAGGGAGAGGGGTTTAAGCAAGCTTATTTTCTAAGGTGTCACCCAAGTGTATTTTACCATGCCAAGGAAAAAATTATCTCCCTGTAGGCAGATAGACATTATCAAATGTACTGGAATCAGGCTGAGTAGAAAAGAAGACCATTAGGTTGTAAGCTGAATATATCCCCGTGAAATATATACCTGTGAAATCCATTTCTCATTGCAATTTGAAAAGTTTAATTAACTAGACTCTATTTTTATTTCTTCTTTGAGAACTAAGAGTTAAATAAAAGGAGCTTAGTTTCCAGCTTCATGTATGCAACTACTTAGTTAACATGTCTTCTCACATGACTCTGGCACCTTGACTTCAGCAGAAAGGGAGGGAGGATAATTATACTCACGTGATTCTCCTCAACTGTGCTATTCTTTATCTGTAGTGACTGGTGCCACCATTTACCTAGCTGTACAAGTCACAACTTGATAACACTACTTTTTACTGTGCTATCTTTGTTCTGTGCCATCTTTGTTTTTTGTTTTACCTCCTAAATAGCTCTTGAATACGTTCAATTCTCTATCTCTATTACTATTGTATCCTCAGCACCTAGCATTGTGCTTGGCACATTTTGAGCATTTTTCCTGCTCAAAGAATCTTAACAGAAGTATTCAACAGTGCCTTCGGAGGTAGGGAAACTCTCTACCAGTTATTCATGTTATTCAAGATAGATTGTCCAAAATTTTTATACTGAGAGATTTGACTACGTATCCTTTTGTTGTGTGCGTGTGTGGTGTGTAGTTTTATTTTTTTTTAATTGAGGTAAGAGCATTTAACACGAGTTCTAGCCTCTCTTAACACATTTTTAAGTGCACAGTACGGTATTGTTAACTCTAGGAGCAATGCTGTACAGCAGAACTCTGGAATTATTCATCTCATATAACTGGAACTTTATACTTGGAGTAGCAGCAACTCCCTATCCTCCCAGCTCCTGGCAACTACCATGTGACTATTTTATTTTATAAAGTGGAATCATACAGTATTTGTCTTGTGACTGGCTTATTTCACTTAACATCTTCCAGGTTCATCCATATTGTTGCATAAGGCAGTGTTTCACCTCCTTTCTTCAGGCTGAATAATACTCCATTCTTTTAAGGCTGAACATTTGTGTGTATGACTAGTTAACCCCTTTAAGGCCCCTTCCAATTCTGAAATGTGGGTAATCATATGTTTTTAAAGTCTTTGATTTTTTTTTTAATGTGTTATGCGTGGTTGTGTAAATAATTGTATTTTTCCAAAATTTAAACATTACAAAAAAGTTTTAATTTGGAGAAGATAAGTCCCTCCCCATCTAATGATAGTTGTTTAGTCTTTTGTTACTTGTATTTCTAAAAATAACATACTACTTGCTTCATGATTATAAACAACTACGCTGTTTCACTGTAGTCTTAGGAAAAAAATTAAGATTATAAACAACTAAAGATGGGGAATTAGTACTTCATGTAAGTATGTTCTATTCTGATCTCAGTTGATTGTAAGTATTCCAGGGTATTTTCCACAGTGTGTACCTCTTTCAAGAATTATGTTTATTTGTGGTTTTTAACTTCAGAGTTACTACTGTTCAGCCTTCAGTTCAATATTCAGGCCTTTTATACAAGTGAATCATCCTGGAGATCTTCGTTTTAAATCACTTAGTGGTTCTTCACATTATTTAAAACCATAATGAGAATCATAAAACACATACCACCTAGTTTAAGACACAAAGCTTTGTAATCTCAGATGAATCCCATTCTTTTCCTTAGCCACCAGAGGTGTAAACACTATTCAGAATTTTGATTTTAATTTCTCTATCATACGTAGCTATCTTGCTGAATGAATTTTAATAACTTCACTTTTCTTTAGAGAAAACTTAGTCTTAAGTTCCTACAGGTTTTTAAGGATTTTGTTTAATTACCTATAATCTACCTTTTCCAGAAGTGAAGGTGCTTAAGTTTATTTTGCATTTTTCATTTGTGGAAATCTATGACAGACTTAAGATTTTATTCTGGAGCGTGCAACCTAATAATTAGGGCCTAATTTAACATCATTTTTAAAACTAATTTTTACACTTCAAATAGATGATGAACAACATGGGTGGTGATGAGGATGTAGATTTACCAGAAGTAGATGGAGCAGATGATGTAAGTCTATAAATTTGTTTTTCTGTTTACTTTAATAGTAAGAAACAATGTATTTACAGGTTGTTTTATATAGATTCGAGATTGCGCTTTTTTTGCCACTTGTTTTTTTCTAAAAAATATCATAGGGAAAAGCAGTTTTTAAAATGTGTGCATTTTTAAGGGATGGATACCTACTAGGGAACTGGTGTTCCATGGACCATTCCTAAAGGGAGCAGATTTCAAAAGAATCATTGCTTAGAGACATATGCCTGTTCAATTAAGAGTTTAGAACTTATTTTGACTGAGTTAAATAGGTTTTATAGCAGGATTGGTCAGAGCAATAAACAGGTGAACACTGCAAATCTATAAAAGGAGGAGATAGATTAAACCACTTTATTGAACATCCCGCTTCTGGCATCCTGTTAACATCTTCCAGAAAGTTATTTAAGCAGTTTGGAAAATACTTACACTAATTTAACAGCTAGGATTAGAGTTCATTGTCTTCTATTAATCCACTGGTCTTTGTATTGAGCCATTTTTTTCTTTTGTTGAATGCCATGAGAGAAGGTGACAGTTTAGGAAGGGGTTCAAAGTGTGGGCTAATTTCTCACCAAAAGGCACACACCAGTTTTTATAGGAAGATAGATTTTGAGCTATACATTCATTCACCTTATGTAAACCTGGTCTTAAGTCTGATGATTAAATTCCTAGGCTTGATATAACCATATACCTTTGCTGCTTTAGTCAAAAATACAGTGCTTCAGCTTTTTAAGGTAAACTGTTCAGTTAACAGAGAAATGTTTGATCAGCTTGATAACTTTTTTTTATTTCCCCTTCTGCAGGATTCACAAGACAGTGATGATGAAAGTAAGTGTATGTAAAAGTAGAGATGTTAACTTGTTAACAATTGGAAGAAAAATTCTTTATGGCCTCAATTAGCCAAAGCAGAAATGTGAATGATTTGACATAGTAAGACAACCAATTAATTCACTAGGGAACTATTTAATTCTATTTTTGGCTGCTTTTTCTATATAAGACTTTAAATTGGTTAATTATTCCTTTGTTCTTCATACTGATGTCTTTTAAATCCTTTCAGAAATGCCAGATCTGGAGTAAGGAGTATTGTCATCACCTGGATTTTGAGAAAGATGAATAACTTCTCCGCAAGATTTCATAATTGAGAGAATTCTGAGTTGATAGCTCTAAAGGCAGATGCTGTATTTGCCTCCTTTAACCCATTTTTCAACCTGTTTGTTTTTTAAAGGCTTCACTAAGGGTTGATATATGTACCATTGTATGGGGCGATTTTAATCAGCTAAGGCAGTAACCTTATGCATGAACATTTCCCAGACTTCCATGAAGGTGTTGAGGTCCTAGGCAACTGATAACAGCAGTTGTGATAAATAAAAACATTTCACCTAAGTCTCCTTTTTTTCATAACATAGATACTGACATGATAGGAAGTTCTCAGCTTAGGGAAAGATAACTGAATTTTAGATTTTTAGAACATGGACTCAAAAGTGGCTGAAACAAATTGGCTGACACCTTAAACTGGTAACCTGTTGTTCCTCTCGTGTGTCCTTCCAGATTGTTCCACTAAAGTTTATTTTTCAAAAAATTTACTTTACATTATTGTATGTAAGTAATCATTTGTCAGTGTTCCAGATGTATCTTAGCTAAAACTAGTGAATGCCCTAACTTAGATGGTTTTTGAAGCCTATACATTTGGTATTGTTTGGCCCTTAAGCTTTTACATCTCTTAGCATGGAGGACAAAGAAAGCTGTACGTCGTTGCTTGAGAATCTGTACATTTAGACCAGATTTGTATTTGCACTGTCAGTATGGCAAATGAGTGAAAAAATGTTAATACACTATTGGGTTTTTTATTTCTTTTTTTTTTTTTTGATTCAGCTTATACCAGGGCTGAAAACCTCAATTTATGTTCATGACAGTGGGGATTTTTTTAAATGTCTACATTCTTTCTAATAAACTGTTGGAAGACTCCTTGGCTGTCCTTTTAAGTGTCTGGCTTACTGTAATTTCATGTATTTACCATTTACTGGAATGGAGTTTTTATTTGAGGAAGAATTTGGGATTATTCCTCTGTTTGAAAAAGAGGCTTGCTGTAATGTCACAGGAAACCTTTTTAAAGTGGATCTGTAATAGAAAATTGTAGATGCACTTTGCGGCAGTTGGAAAAGAAAGTGTTGTGAATTGATTGAAATAAACTAAATGTGTTGTCCTCCTAAATCTTTGAGCTTCTACATTTTGGCAGTTTTCATTCCCTCATAGCTTGTGTTTGTCAGTATAGAAATGTTTTGTATTTCAGCATTTCTTTATGTCAGATATTCAAGACTGTTGAAGTGCTGGAGGATACAAAGATTAATCCTTCAGGTGTGATTGCTGTGCTCAGGGAGCTCACAGGCTAAGCTGTGCGTAGGGTGTGTGGGAAAACAAACATGCTGGACAAAAACCTTGATAGATGGGAAGTGTAAGAAATATCCATGGGGTATTTACGGGGATTTAGAAGGAAAAGTTATTTTTCGTTCTGTCGTTCGGTGTATGACTCTGTTCAGAATGATAGTCAAAATCATTTTTTTAAATACTACTAGAGAACCTTCCTACTTTTCAGGGGCCCTGGGCATGGCATAACAACATTTGGCATTCTGCTGTTACAATGTAACATAGTTTGGGTTCCGCCCCTGTTGAAGGAATGGTTTCCTCAAAATCCTACATAATAACTTAGTCTCCTTTCTCTGGAGCATGCTAAAGGCATCTGCATGACTGATGTGTAGCTTTTTAGCTTCAGGGAGAAACAAATATTTAAAAAAAAAAAAACCCTCCTATTATGTTCAAACAACTAGAACAAGATTTCATCAACCCTTACTGTTCATTCAGATGCCTTTTAAGTCCTTTCAGAAATGCCAGATCTGGAGTAAAGAATATTGTCATCACCTGGATTTTGAGAAAGACAAGTAACTTCTCTAAGATTTTATAATCGAGAGAATTCCTGAGTTGATAGCTCTAAAGGCAGATGTTATATTTGCCTCCTTTAACCCATGTTGAAGCCTTGTGTACACAGGAGAGGAACTGTCCTAGGGCAACTAAAATGGAGTTTGAGGGTGGGAGTGGGACAGTTTGAATTTTTAACATAGTGAATTCTAAGTTTTAATTTTTAAAAGTCTACTCTAACCCCTAAATTCTCACTGTGGTACACTTGACCCTTGAACAACATGGGCTCAAACTGTGGATTTTTTTTTCCAACCAAACGTGGATCAAAAATAACTATTAGAGGAATTGCCAACCCTCCAGTATAGGGAGGGCCAACCTTTTTGTGTATGTGGGACGTGAATATGCTTGGCTTTAGGTGTACATGGGGCATGTGTGATAGTGTGGTGGTCTTGGAACCAATCACTTGCATATACTGAAGGATGACTGCTTTTCAGACTTGTGGATTTCATTTAAATATTTAACTACATTTGATTACATGTTGAATGTCTGTCTATTCCTACCAGTGAAGTTGTGTATCACCACTACATCTCTAGCCCTTAGCTCAGCACCTGATGTGGTGAAGACTCAGAAATAGCATGGGTAATGTGTGTGTGGTTTGTTTGTTTGTTTTTTTTTATTTATTTATTTTTTTGAGACAGAGTCTCACTGTGTTGCCCGGGGTAGAGTGCCATGGCGTAATCCTAGCTGACAGCAACCTCAAACTTCTGGGCTCAAGCAATCCTTCTGCCTCAGCATGAGTAGCTGGGACTACAGGCATGCGCCACCATGCCCGGCTAATTTTTTCTATGTATTTTTAGTTGTCCGATTAATTTCTTTCTATTTTTAGTAGAGACGGGGTCTCGCTCTTGCTCTTGCTCAGGCTGGTTTCGAACTCCTGAGCTCAAACAGTCCGCCCACTTCGGCCTCCCAGAGTGCTAGGATTATAAGCGTGAGCCACCACGCCCGGCCAATGTGTGTGTTTTTTAATGTTTTTAAAAAATTAAATATTTTTATTACATACTTTTTTAACGTACAGAAAATAGTACAGTGAACGTCCATATACATAGTTAGTCATTAACATCTTGCCATTTATGCTTCACATTTTGCTAAACCATTTTAAAATATTGTAGACACAGTTCATTCCAAAAATAGTATTCAAATTAAAACATTCTTCTATAAACAACATCTTTCTCAAATGCCGTGTAATTAGCCATATCATTTAAAATCTAGTACATATTCAAATTTTCTCAATCTCCTCCACCCGAAGTCAAATGGTTTTCTAAACCAGAGTCCAATCAAAGATTCCACATTACATTTGGTCATTATGTCTCTTACAAGTAACTTTTAATCTAGAATATTGCCCACTCCATCTCCGTTTTTCTTTTCCAACATTGATATTTTGAAGAAATGAGGCCAGTTATCTTCTGCAGCATTCCACATTCTGGACCTGTCTGATGGTTTCTTTAGTGGTGTCATTTAACTTGTAGCTCTATCCCCAGTATGTCTCCTTAATCAGAATGTGAGCACCTTTTTGATTTTTGTCTGAAACCCATATAGTAGCCAGTATGACAGCCACTCATGTACCAAGAGATTAACATGCTTCCCAAAGCATCAGTATCATAAAGAGGATCTGGACATAAGGGAGGTCGGGGTGGGGGGTGGGAATTATTGGTGGTCCAGAAGGAAATGGAGGCAGCCAGCATGACAGGAAGTGGGGAGGTGGAGGTGGTGGTGGCGGTGGCGGGCCATTGAATTTTAAACCTGGCTTTCCTAGTCCTAGGCCTGACCCTGACATAGGGGGAGGTGGAGGGAGAAAAGAGTTCCATGGAGTAGCTTTTGACTTGGTGTTTGGTTTATTTTCAGGAGACCTGGAGCTCTCACTTCATCCATTGAAACTTGATTCATTTTCATTCTCTTGAGCATTCTGTTTTACATTATTAGCTACTTCAGAGGTTGGGGAAAGATCAAACAGATTTGCTCCTCTCTATTTCCATATCCAGTGTAAACCACAACACAGGTTTCTCTCAAAATCAATTGAAGCACTGGTAGGTGGGTAAATGCAACCATCTTGCGACCAAATGGCAGACCGTTTGTCACCACCCTTCCACTTAAATGAAGCTATAGCTTTATCATAAGGTGTTTTTTTGTTTTTTTTTGTTTGTTTGTTTTTGAGACAGTTTCACTCTGTTGCCCTGGCTAGAGTGAGTGCCGTGGCGTTAGCCTAGCTCGCAGCAACCTCAAACTCCTGGGCTCAAACTCCTGCTTCAGCCTCCCAAGTAGCTGGGACTACATGCACGCGCCACCATGCCCGGCTAATTTTTTCTATTTTCAGTTGTTTGGCTAATTTCTTTATATTTTTAGTAGAGACGGGGGTCTCACTCTTGCTCAGGCTGGTCTCGAACTCCTGAGCTCAAACAATCCGCCGTCCATCTCCGCCTCCCAGAGTACTAGGATGACAGGCGTGAGCCACCGCGCCTGGTCTATCATAAGGTTTTTTGTTTTGTTTTTTTTTTTTGAGACAGAGTCTCACTGTGTTGCCCGAGCTAGAGTGCCGTGGCGTCAGCCTAGCTCACAGCAACCTCAAACTCCTGGGCTCAAGCGATCCTTCCTGCCTCAGCCTCCC